GTCAGAGGGAGTTCAACAGTAACTGGTTGGATTGTTTTGGGAAGATGGAGAGACCTGGGCTTCACCTAATTTAGGTGGCCAGGTGGAGGGCGGGACCTGGGTATGCTGAGGGCTGCTTCTTTGAATGGCAGCATTGGAATGGGTCACAAAGGGCGTGGTTACAAACATGAGACTCACCAGCATACTTTTAGGAGCACCTTGACTTCCTTAAGTTAGTGGAATTGTAGGTTGTGCAGATACCCTAACGTCTTTAAGATGGGGACGCCTTTAAACCCAGGTTCTTGAGCCTGGCTGCACACTGGGATCATTTGAGGGGTCTCTGTATCCAGCCTACACCCCAGACCAAATAAATCAGAAGGATTGGAGGTGGAATCCGTATGTTAGCATTTTTTAAAAACCCTTTCCAGGTGATTCCAATGAGCAACTAGGACTAAGAACTTGTGGATTAGGGTTAGAGCAGGTGCTCGCATTTAGCACACCCCCTGGGTTATTGAGCTTGCTACCTTTGGGGTGGGGGATCTTGGGGACGGAGGAAGTGCTAGACCTGTGGCCACATCTTTCTACTGCAGTTTGCTGAAAGCCGAGACGCCCAGCCCTGGCTCTCAGCTTGCAGCAGGGCACCCTGACCACTCTGCTGATGCCCATTGAGAATCTTCTGCAGAACATGTGCTTCACTCCCTGCCCTAGAAGAGTTTGTTACCCAGCAAGGGAAATAGGATGTGTACATACAAATAACTGTGTTTCTGTAAGGCAGAAGTTGGTAACTACCACCAATGCAATCAACACGAGGTATAGCATTATGTAAGTCTCAGAAAGACAAAAATACCATTTACTCTAATCAGCAATGGAATATCACAGCTCCGGAAAGTTCAGAAACGTGTCGCATTCACTGTCCATGGGATGGTCAGAGCGGTCACCTGGATGAATCCCTGTGTTTTAGTGCTGACCCTGGAAGCAGGGGACTTTCTGATAACACAGGACCAGAGACAGAAGGACTTTGGGATCATCTGGCCTGATTGCCTTGTGATAGATAGTCCCGAAAAGTGATGTGTCACCCAGTGAGGCAGGGGTCAGCCTGAGCTGTGGTCCTATTATCGCACTCAAAGGGCAGAGGAGCCTCAGACGACTGAGAATGGGTCTTTGGGCCTGAATCCCATTAAACAGTGGCACCTCAGACAAGGAATTTCCTTGCCTGGGTTTCCACCATTAATGCATCATTCTTTTGCACCCAGGCACTGTCTTTTTAAATGTTAATAGTGAAGTTCCTAATATCCATCCTGAAGCTATTGAGCCCTGTGAGATTGGATCAGTAGACTTTGTTGTTTCCTTTCTGCTAGATTTCCTACTCACATCTAAGGTAGTAGGCCACAACAGCCTTTGTTAAAGAGAACGGAATGCGTATTCTAACTGTGAGCTGTGTTAGTTTAGCACACTAAATGTACATCAAGATGTCCTGGTGTGGTGCTGTTGGACAAGCACTGGACTGCTAACCGAAATATCGGCAGTTCAAACCCATCAGCCACTCCTTGCTAAATCCTATACAAGGTCCATATGAGTTGGGAACCAACTCAACAGCACTTAATAAAAACAAACAGACATCATGAAGTTGGGACATTTTGAAGGATTATGGATCACTGTCCTCAGTAAGGAATTTAGGCCACCAGTGTGCTTACAGCTGTCTGACCATGTGGCCCACCGTGGAGAAAGCAGGTCGCCCCTGCGTAGGGTGAGTCCCGACCTGAAGGCCAGGCTGAAAGCTAGACAGAGGTCCAATCAGCTTCCACATAATGGCAAGTAACACATTAAAGCTTACTCCGTGCCAAGTGTTCATGTAAGCACTTTGTTCAACCAGCCACAAACATGTTATTCCTTTTATGGCATGGCCAGAAGTCACAGAGAGTTTACTCAGAATCACACAGCTAGTAAGTGACTGAAGCAGAATTTGAACCCAGACAGATTCCAGAGTCTGTGTGCTTAGCTATGGTGCTAGAGGGCCTCATGGGGAGGAACCTAGTTGCCTTCTCTGAATTGGCCACACAGTTGTGCTTAGGGGAACCCCTCCCCAATGGTCCCAGGAGCAGAGGATGGGTCATTATCCCCTATGTCAGGCAGTGGCTGCAGGTTTTAGGAAATAGGAAGTTTGAGGCTCAGCTCCAGCGAGAAGTCGGCCAGGCCTTCTGCCCAATCCCCTGTATTCTCTCCTCAGGCCTCCTGCCAGGGTAGTTATCTTCAAGTCTTGGCTGCCTAGACCCCTCTCCCTTCAAAAACAAAATGAGAAGGTTCCCAGGGACATAACCCAGATGCTGGGGAGTCTCCCCACGGACCTCCAGCCTCCTCTGGGTCTGAAAGTAAATGCTGAAAACAAGATCACAGATGAACCTGCCTGCCCTGCCCAGCCCTGGGAGGGGTGATTTCTACCAGGCTCCGAGGACTGGGCCTTCCAACTGCAGGCCCCTCCTCCCACCCTGGTGAAGGTCTGTCTGGAGACAGGACAGCTTTATAAGTCAAAGCCAGGAATGTTTGACCTCTGACATCCTCCTGTTGGGGCAGTCCCACCCACACTCCCATTATACACACACACACCCCTTTCCTGGATCCATGCCTGCCCATCCCACAAGCCAACCACCAAGAAGAGTCCCTGGCCCTGGGAACAGGAGTCTCGGGGCCTAGCTGCCAGATCACAAGAAATGCTTTGGGTAACCCTGGTCTAGAAAGCCTAGCAGGATAGGGAGGTGGCAGGGGGTCAGGGTCAGGAATGAGTTCCTGCATTGTGAGTCAGGTTGTTACAATACTGACCCCTCCCCACCAGAAGCCTCAGAGCAAGCTGGGAGGAGGGAGGGAGGAGGCTAGGTGGAGTTGTTGGGGACAGTGGCCCTATGTCTCAGAGGAGGGGCACAGATGTGGGGGGAGGGGGATTGGATGTCCTTTGTAAGGGGCAGGTGGGTGGCTCTTGTCCCCCTAGCCTCCTCCCCTCATACCCATCACTCTGGCTTACCCTCCGTTGTGATGACTGAGATTAAATCTCAGCCCTGGGCAGCTGCTGATGCCCAGTCTCCAGCAGAAACCTTTATCTGAGATTAAGGATAATGGATTTCCTTTCTTGGATAAGACTTTTTTTTTTCACCCCCCTTTCCCTTTTACCCAGATGTTTTGTCCAAAATGTGCTGAACTCCAGCAAATAGTCTTTTTACTGACAAACTCCCCTCCCCCATTTGTTACCACCCCCACTCTACCATCACCACCGTCTTTTCTTGTATCCAAGAAAGGCAGTTTTAAGTACCTGGTGGTGGTGGTGATTGTGTGCCTCACGTTGATTCCAACTCATAACGGCCCTTTACGAGAGCAGAAAGCCTCCTCTTTCTCCCGTGGAGCCGGGGAGCGACTGGTAGATTCCAGCTGCAGACCTTGCAGTTAGCAGCCAAATGTGAAACCCACTACATAACCAGTGCTCCATGTATCTGGTAAGAGTGCAAAAGAATAACTTCCCTCTTCTCTCACCCCTCTTCTTCCTTCCACAAATATCTCCTGAGCTTTGTGCCTGGAGTAGGGAGACCAGGTGTGTGGAGGGCTGGGGCAGTGAGAAATAACTGGACTTCATTTCTTCAGCCGTTCAGCCAGCACCCACATCTCCAGAAACCTAGAACCTGCCTGGAAGAAGCGGGCAAGGACTTGGTGGTGGGGTCCCTTCCTTTGATCTACCTCAAGACTCACTGCTGCCCCCTAGGGGGGGAGGAGTGTCATCATGGGAGCCTGATGATAGAGCCCCACAGCAGGGGACAACCTGTACATTGATTTCACCTGCATCTTTTTCTCCCCTCTTCAACAGCCCTATTACCATATTTAAATGCAAGTATGTCTCTTTTCATTGCCATTTTTAAGTAGCTTAGCCTGACCTTTCTAGAATAGTTTGTTCCTTTTTGAATTTCTTCCCCAGTAGTCGGTGTGGCTAGGACAATAGTCTTAGAGTTTAGTGGGCTTCTAGTTTGCTCTGTTTGGGGCTTGGGAATCTCTGTCTCTCTCTCTGTCTGTCTCTTTCCTCTTCTGCCCCTTCCCTTTAATGCTTCCTGTCCTGCTCCATCTTGTCCTGTAGAAACTCCTTATTTTGAAAGGCTCCCTGGCTAAAGTTGGGCAGCTCTGTCCGGGCTGTTTCTTGAGGTTGCTGCTGACTCAGGCACATCACCATTGGAAACTGGTCTTGGGGCCAGGCCTCCAAGTGTCTGCCTGGACAGCAGGGGGTGTTTGTCTCTGTGTAGGGGGAGGATCTGTGTGCACAGGGCAAGGGAGGAGCCTCCTGGTCCTCTTAACTTATTCCCATTGCTGGGACAGCCTTCTGCCTGGTGCTTGCTTAGACAGTAACCTTGATCAAGGACTCCAGACTCGGGAGACTGTGGGGCTCAGACTGAGACCCAGAGCTAAATTCCCCACAACAAACCACAAAGAATAAACCCACAGGACTCACCTCATGTAAATCTCCCTCCCCAAGCCCCAGTACTTTAGCTTCGTGTGTACATGTAGAGCCAGGGCCCCCATATGCTTCATTCACTCTTAGGCTTGGGACTCTGGCATGGAGTTTTGACAAAGCCAAAGACACCCCCTCAGGACCTTTGGAGAACACTGCTTTCTGTCTGAGGCTCAGGTCTGAGCACTCAGCTGGGAGCCTTGCAGGGACAGTTTGTGCTGTGAACAAACCCTGTCAGCACAGTGACCCGTCAGCAAGGAGCTGGGCCCCACTGAGAGAAAACTCCTGGGAAGCTTGAATTGCTTTTGTGTGGCTTCTAGACCAAGTTTCTAGAGCTGACCAGAGTGTTCAAATCCCCCACACCTAAGGATGCTGTGCCTTCCAGAAGCCTGAGAGCCTCAGACTTGTGTCCTCCTCAACGCTGACGTGTGAACTTCCCTTCCCTCTCTTGTCTTTTGTCCGGGGGTGGCCTGGGAGACAGGTCTGCATGGACCTATGGAGGACAGCTCCTTGACCCCAGCTCCTCTCTCTCTCACACCAGGCTTCCCGGCGGCGGCTTACGGACCAGTGGCGGCAGCAGCAGTGGCAGCAGCGAGAGGATCAGGTAGGAAGATGTCCAGGCCAGGCGGCTCTCAGGCATGCCCCAGTGTGCAGGGGAAGGTAAAGGCCCTGTCGGATCTGTGTGGCTGCGTCTGCCCAGTACTACTCTCACCACAGCCCCGGGGCATCTAGGGCAGCTCCTAGTGGGCTCAGTCACGGGGCTGCAAACCAAAGTTAGATCATGGTGGTCTCATCTGAAAAAGAAAACACTTTTCCTTTTGACTGGGGGCCTTCCCTTCACCAGCCACCTGGCTTTGGGGTAGCTGGGGGTCCTTTCTCTCCTTGGCTTGCCCTGGCTCACGAGGCCCCCTTGCTTGGACCTCTGACCCAGCCAGATTGGTTTGAGGCTGTGAGAGGGAAGCCCATTCCACAGGCCCCGTAGGGCCCCTCCTGCACCCGCAGGTGGGTGAGTTGACTGATTAAACTTGGCCTCAGTGAATGAGCTCTTGTCCCCGAGCCCGGGTTGCACTCCAGGGCTCTCAGCAGAGACCAGAGACCCAGTTGCCCAGGGAACTGCTCCTTCTGTCTCCTCATCCAAACTTGCAGGAGACCGGGAGCCCCTCAGAGTACTGAGGACTCATCCAGGATGCAGGCCCAAAGGGGACCTTTAGTCCCTCACCCCCAGATGCCCTCTGCCTTCCCAAGCAAGCGGGGCTTCTGCTGTGACTGGGCTCCCTCCCACACCCTGGCCTCCACTCCTCCTGAAACCGAGGGGTGATGGTTTGCAGCTCTCCCACACCCCGTGGACAGGGCCCTGGAGCACCCAGGGGAAGAACTTAGTGTCATGAACTGGGGGGTGGGAAAGTTGCTGGTGAGTGTACCAGAGGGCAAATGCCCAAAATCCCAAGCCCATGGTGATGAGAAACTGGCACAGTGAGAGGCCCATTAGAAAACATCAGTCAAAATCCGTTCCATGCAAACTGGCACTGCCTTGGAGCTACAAAGGATGTACCTCCCAGAATCGGCCACTGGGGTTTTATTTGGAAGAGGGGGGGGGGCGGGGGCAGGGAATTCTCAGGGGACTGCCAAGGGGTTCTTTGCTGGAGAACTGAGGAGGCAGCTTGGCCAGCGGGTCCAGCTAGCTGGGTACCCTTTCTGAGCTCCCTCTGTCTCCAGAAGCCCAACTGCCCTTTGACCAGTGCCCTTTGGTGTCCCCACAGGCCCTGGGGGTGGGGGCTGGGCACCGCTGCCTCATGTTTCCCAGTTCCGTTTAGTTTTTTTGTTTTGTTTTTTTTTTTAACTTGAGTGCTTTTTTTGGAATCGTTACCAACTTGGTCCTGTGTCTGGTGGGGGGAAAGATAAAAAGAAACATCCTGAGATTGTTGAGTGTTGCTGGTTGTTGTTGTCTCCGTTCAGTTTCTTTCTTTTTATAACTTGGATTATGAAACTAAACTTTAACCTGAAATTAACCCTGCCTCTCTCCCACCCCTGGTTCTCCTTGACTCCATGGCAAGTTTAAAGGACAGCATGGGGTTCTTTATGAGTCTGAGAGCAGTCTTCCCACCATCTGTGCCCCCTCCTGCCAAACCCACCCCTCCCGGACCCCGAGACAGGTGGGACCCCCCCCCATTCTAACTCCTAACCGCCAAAGATCAGACCCATCTTCAACCACACATTTTTTTTTTTTCTCTCCAGGATCAGTGGTGTTTTATTTGTAGCCATTTCCATTGGGAGCAAAGCCTCCCTCAGGCCATTTAGGTCAGCCATGCTCATCCCTGCACTGTTAGTGAATTGTATTCAGGAGTGCCCCTACCAGCCTGGGTTAGTGGGGGGGGGCAGCCCTGAGAATCAGGGGTCCCGTTGGTGTTAGGGGTGACAGGACTATGGCCTCCACAGTTTGAACACCTCATGTAGACAGGGTACTCTGGCCCTTACAGCTCCCCACTTTGCATCTTGGTTGGGTGACAAGGTGGGAAAGGAAGCTTTTCTTTTACCCTTTGTGGCCTGTAGGGTCTATCCCTTCCACTAGAACAAGGCTAGGGAACAGGGGCCATATAAGGCCCCCGAAAATCATTTGGTTTGGCCCTGCCAAGGCAACCACATGAGCTAATGAAATAAATATTTGACCAAATGTAGCAGGCTAATTTTTAAGTTGATAATTTTGTATGGCCCATGAATGATCTTATAAATTTTAGACAGAAAAAAGATTCCCCATCCCTGCTCTAGAAGATGGTCTAGGTTACTGAGCCCAGCAAGCTGGCCCCTTCTGTGGTGTGTGTGGGAGAGGGGCTGCCTAGTTCCACCCACCTTTACCAGCTCCCACCACTCTGCCTCACCCACCCCACTTCCTCTCCAGGGGATAAGGATGCTCCCTAGCAGCCCCACTGTTGGTAGCTCATTGTGTTCCCTTGTTGGGAGACTCACGGTACAAGGAGAGTACTGAATACACCAACCTTTGGCTCGGCACTGTGATAAACCCATTGGGTGATTCCAACAAGAGACACAGGTGGGCTCCCCTGGGGCCTGTCAGGCTTGGTTTACGGGTTCACCAGCCTATGGAAGTCCATGTTTCTGGCTTTCCTTTTTATTAGCGCCACCTGTTTTCTTTTCCTTATTATTACTTATCGGGAGTGCTTCCTGAACTAGGAAGCACCTGCTGAGGAGGGGGTGGGAAGCAACTTTGGCTTTGCTCAGGTTGGCAATGTATATGTCAGGGCTCTGGTGTCAGGGTAGGGGGTCCCGGGGGACCTTGAGCTCTGTACCCACCTTGGCCAATGCCTCCAGGCCAGCCAGCCCTCCTTATCTTAATGCACCCACAACCTGAGGTGAACAGGGCTCAGACAACCCCACCAGGACTCCTAGATAACTTCACTCTCAGTGGTCACTTTTCGTTCACCTCCACCTGGTAGCTTGAAACGCCATCTTTTCTTGTGCTCAGTCTAGAAGTCTGTTCATTTTGATCGTATTCATTCAGTTCCAGTAGCCCATCATGTCTCACCCAGACCTAACTCCAGTTTGGCCAGTGCCTCCTCCCACCTCTCCCCTAGGAGAGGGAAGTGGTTTGGATTTGCAGGCGATTTGATTTCTGGGTGACATTCCAGGTGGGTCGGTGTAGCACTCGTAGAGCTTTGGAGCCCCCTGCTGCCCCCCAGTCCCAGCCAGGACCCCTTACTGTACTTTACACTTGCCAGCTTTATTCCCGTCCAGTCACCTGAGCTCTCCCTGATGGTGGTGGTGAGTGTGAGCAGTTACGTTTCTGTTGTCTTTTCTCTTGCTTGGTTGGGGCTGCGGTGAGAGTGTCTCTGAGGCATACTTTCCCGCCTCTCTTACACTAGGATCTGCACACCTCCTCTCAAACACTCTTCTGAGCACGCTCAGCGGGAAGGTTTGTCCACACCTATTAATCCTCTCTCAGTGTCCAGCTTCCTGTTAGTATCAGCTGGTTTGCATGTTTTTGCTTGTTCAGATGAAACAGTTCAAGAAACAAACTCATATCCAACTCTCGAGAAATGTCTTTTTTTGTACACTTTCGTTTTCGATTATTATTTTTTTATTAGTTACAACTCCAAAACACCTGTTGTCCAGTAAAACATTTCACACCTCCCCTGCCTGTTCTTAGATTGTATGTATCTGTGGGACTGAACTAAATGCATGCATGTAGTAGATGTACCGGTAGCTGTAGCTGTAGTTGTAGAACATGCATTGTTGAGTTGATATTACAGGGGCTCTGACAGCTCTGGACAGCTGTCTGGAGGATAGCATGGGGGGGCCAGGAAGAGAAGGGTCTCCATGTTTTCAACGTTACCAAGGGGCTTGGATCCATGTTCTCGCCATCAGCCACCCACCACCTCCTCTCACACTCCCTGTTCTCCCAGTCCAGAACTGGGTCACCACCCTCAGCTCTAGCCTCCCCAATGAGGTATCTCTGTTGATAGCACTTAACATGAAAGAGAATGGAGCAAGGATGGAAGGAGTCTTAGAGTTCCTCTTTGGTTCTTGTCTTCCTCTATTGTTCTTGGACAGAGCAGGTCTTTTTTTTTTATTTCTTAAAACGTAGCAACATGACTCCTCCAGCCTGTCTTCTTGAGTCCTTTGGCACTTACAAGTCCAGTCCGGTAGCAGCCCTGTCTTTCCGATCGTCTCCTTGGATGGAGTGGGTGTGAGACATGATGGAGAAAGAACTGAGATCCCAAGGTCCTCGGCATAGGCAGGGAATGTTTTTGGTCCTAGTGAGCATTGTTCCTGTGGCTGGTGAAGGAAGAGGAGCGGCTTTCAGAAGAGCTCCCATGGGTGTGGAATAAGCAGGGCAACATTCCTGGTCTGGAGATTATTGGCACTGCTTTCTGGGGGACAGGGCGTCTGGAGCATCCATAGAGGAGGCCACAGCCTACCTCCATCTCCCCAGAAAGCAGGGCTTCCGAGGGCAGGGGAGGAGTGGCCCCCGCAGCCCCTGCCCTCAGTTCAGAGGCACACGTGCACACTCAAACACCTCTGGGTGATCTTCCCTACATTCATGGAAATGAGTTTGTACCAGACATCCTCAGAGCATTTGGTGATATCTCTCAACTGTACAAGCTGATGTCCTAGGGGGAGGTGGGGAGGCTTACCTAGTAGGTGGCTTTCTGAACCAGCATGGTGGGTCCTGTGAGCTGCTAGAGGAAACAGGTGACCTGTACCTGCAGGGTGTAGCCCACCTATTATAGGAGACAGAGCCATGGAAGAAGTCACAATGTCCAAATAGGCCCCCAGTGAGTGTGGAGCAAAATGGAGAGGCTGTGGGGGTGAGCCAGGACTGAACTCAGCAGCATTCTATCCATCCAACAGAATGAGGGTGCTCAGGCCCAGGCAGAAACCTCTAGAGGAGTCCTCTGAGCATGCTTCAAGGGGAGGGAAACTGAGGGAAATGGCTGAATCTGCAGCAAGACCCAAGACTGGGGGGGGGGAGGGGGGAGTGAGGGGAACAAGGCAGAGAGCCCAGGAAATCCCCACCCAATGGCCTAAATCCTGGGTCTGGCTCTACTAGGAAATGAATTCCTCAGAACACCAGTTCCCACAGGTACAATG